GAAGGATTTCCCGTTCTGTTGGACCTGAAACACAACAGCATGAGAGCAAATTAATAAAGAAAAAAAAAAGATTTTACCTAAGACCTATGGAAAACATCTCTTGAAAACATTATTTTAGGAAATGTCTTACCAGACATTGAACTGACATGGATATTCTGCTTTGTAATAGCAGACTGTTGATCTGACTTCTTCTTTACTGAGATGCGATCGCCATGAAATGACTCTGGGCCATAGTTTTTCAAGGCAGCATTGGCCTCTGCTAGGGAATCTACCCTGTATGCAAGAAGACCAATGGATGCCAACAACTGTTCAGTGTTGTGCATCTCCATATGGAGAGCACAAAGTTGAATGTTGCAAAGCTCTTCGTCCAAAAGAAAAACCAGATCATCTCATGTACCAGTTGATCTACAAGACAATTTCAAAGAATGATTGATTTTCTGAAGCAATGAATTATTTCATGTTTTTCTCTAAAAATGTTTTTCTTTTTGTTTTTCAATAACCAAACTATGAGTACTCCTTTCCTGACAGTATGAAAACAATTTTTGGCAACCTTCCAAGTTTGGCAAAAGATCCTGAATGAGGATTTTAGTTTACTAGCAACAATTTAAACAAAAACCCAAACTATACACTTAATTTCAGTTCATGCTTTAGTACAAGTCATTTCCCCATGGCTTACAAAATTCATTTTGTTATGTAGCAGTAAGAAAATCCCCTTTATGTGTTTGAATGTAATTTAATATGACAATGATCAAATGCCTACACACCTTTCTATGTTGCATTTGCTTCTGAGGCAATCCAGGCATGTCTCATCTGGAGCAACTTCATGGCATTTGCAACCCTGACAAAAACAGGCACACTATCAAATAATATATAATATTATAATTTCAGATAGAACTACACATTTATCATGCTTCCGATTATCTTCTTCTAGAGTTCATGCAGATTTTTGGATCCAAAATTCAAGACTTTTCCCAGACCTTTTTTCCAAAACATCAATTTATTTTTCCAGACTGAAGATGGTCAAATAGGTGATCAATAGAGATCTTGAAAAATGCAGAAACCAGGCTTCTTTCATGATGCACTGCAAATGTACAATAACCATGGTGCAATTGTGAAACTTCTCATTCTGTGATTGAATGTCTTAGCTACAGGCGAGATTGAATTGACCACAGGGGAAAAAAATGAACTTATTAAGCACTTTTTGTAGCTATAAAAAAACTCCAGACTTGAACTATTTTTCTAGACATTATCTTCAATTTCAAGACTCTTTTCCAGGTCTGGAAAATCAAGACTTTCCAAGAATTTATGACTCTGTGTGAGCCCTGTTCTTTTTACAGTACATGTATTCATACTTTCAGTGATTTTTAAATGTTTTAAAGCAGAATGACCTTTAGAGAAGTACTTTACAACTTTTTTTGACTGAATTAAAGCTACTTGATGTTTCTATCACTCACTAATTATTTTCCCAAATATTGGCAAAGATCAAAGTCATCTGAAATCACTGTAAAAAAAGTTGATGAACTGATGCAGCACTTTTATGTACCTCAACTTTAACAGCTCAAGTTGCAGTTGCCCCATACTAATTTCTATATCATTTGAGTACTTTACCCTGATAGCATTGCAGATGAAACAGACCTCGACACTGACACCTCTACCACTAACATGAATGAAGCATTCGTCTTCTTCACCAAAAGAAGTACCAAGGTCTTGTAGTCCAGTACAACTAAGTTTGATAACAGAAATGGGAAAGCAAAAGTTGACATGCTAAACTTTCCAGGAAATTAATCTTTAATGTATCTAAAGAAAAGGGTAGTCAAATCAATTTCTGACGTAAAATAGTAATAAATTCCAGGTTTTATTTCTTGCTGCTGCAGTTAAACCTTGAACATGTTTTACAATATAAAAAAACTCTTAATTTACTATAGTTTGACTACTGCTTCAATCTAGTTCTAGTCAGACTACCAACTGGGTAGAAACACAATAAATTGCTATAAATAGTATCATGAACAAGAAGTTGACTTCTAAAGCAAATTCCAAGACTAAAATTGATTCTTACCCAGAAATTCAACGGTGTAATGTCTACCATCAACTGTCATTCCTTTTTCCTTTAATATTTTCTTCTGGTGGTTGATGTCCTCAAAAAGAATCTTGAGGTTGTCTCTGTCAACAAACAAAAACCAAAAATCTATACAGTCATTGTTATATTTAGTGCAATAAAGCCAAATTAGGGATATTGATATCAATCCACTTAGATCTCAGAGTGGATGCATGACCTGGTGATATTGCAACTGAGTGGGGTTTACAAAAATCTGTCATTGTGTTATTTAAGTTAAATGCACATACAACCACAAGCATATTCTAGCCAGAAGGTAGTAAAGAGGTCATGCAAGTTGCAATTCACAAACCTGTCTTCTTTACAGTTGGCAATTGTCAATGGGTAGACTGATTTTGCACTTTGCTGGCTATATACAGCACCATCACGGGGAACAATTCCAAACAACACCTGAGCTCTACCTGCAAAACAATTTTTTACACTAAATTAGTCAAGACAAAAACTGCACCCTTCACCAACCCATTTCACCTTACACATTATTATAATGACCACTTTCCATACAAAGAACTGCTTGCAAGGCCAAAAAAATTTAACAGTTATAGTTATTTTGATTTGGAAGTACAACACACACACACAAAAAAAATATGTGGATGATTATCATACGTGGGGAACGACCTTTTATAACAATAATAATAAAATAATTTACAGACAAAACTGCAGAGACAGCATGCATTATCACATAATTTTACCCCAAAATGGTCTCCCATCAAGCTTCATCATCAGTCGCAAAGCATGTGAAGACAGCTGGTGCAGCCTTTGTTCCCTTACGATTAACTCCACAACAGAACTCAAATTCACAGAGAAACCTTGTATAGGAGGAGCCACCTTCCTAACCCCCATATACTCCTTACAAGCTCCAAAAACCATCTTCTTAGCTGCCTTGATCTGGTTTAAGTTGAGGAGGAGAGGCGTGTGAGAGGATTTCTAAGAAAATAATAGAAAGCAAGGTGATAAAAAGCAAAGATTAAACTTTTTAATCTAGGTTGATTCTTTGTATCCTTTGTCTCCTACTAGTCCTAGGAAACAAAGGAAACAGAGAATCAACCTCTGTAGGTTAAAAAATCTTCCCTTGAACATAATTTTGACCTGTAACAATAACATTGCTACAGTCAGCAAGGGTCTTTGTGACCATTTTATGAGAAACTTTTATCACTTTGCCAGCCCTATGTTCTTCAAATTTGAAAAAATGAGTTAAAGTACTGCTTTTACCATTAAAGCACCGCTTATTTTCCTCATATATATTTTTGAGTTCTTGATGAATAAAGCTCTACCAGTTCAAACAGCATCTATCAACAGAATTTCATAGGAAAAAACTTTAAAGATTATATTTTAAATTTACACTTGGTGTCATGGAATATTAATAGGAAGTAGGGCGATGACCTTCTATATTAATGGTCCAGGGTTTGTCACTAAGAGCCGGCTTCCAGCATATTTCACCAGCTGAAAATGAGCTTACCACTGGTTCAAATTGCTCTGGAAAACAGACATAGGGTAATTTTGAAGACGCAGTTGAGCAAAACGCCCGCTTAAGTAATAAAAAAAAGCCTGCTTATCTTTTCCTGTACAAGGCTTCGCTTACGAGAATAACTGAATAAAACAAAAGAAAGAGCTGCTATAATCATTGAGGCTCGCGATGGAATAGTTCTTTTTTTGTTCTTTTATTCCCTTAGCCGGGGCGCCAAGTATGAATATTAATATACCGACGTAAGACCAACGTAACTAAACATCTTACCCCCGTCCTTCTGAGCCCTGTGATGTTTATCACGGATTGCCACGTTTTCGAAGAAACTTTCGCCATCGCCTGGAAAAGGACAAGCTTCCAATCAGGAACTCTCAGGCACGCCACGTACTTCGACATTGTGTCGTCGCCAACTAGCTCTTCCACACTCCTCTTTACTCCCCTTTTTACAGCCATCTCTTCGACAATTTCATTGACGATGGCCTTCGCTTCTGGGTCGCCAAATGCGCACATGTTCGAAAGCACCATCGCCAAACTTTCCCTGTTTCTTTCGCACACGTCATGCACGTCCTTAATGACGCGCTGCTTCGCTGCTTCATCAACAACACCTTTTCTGGAGTATCCAAATCTTCCTTTTCGCTGATCTCCTTTAGATTTGGGGAAACATTCTTTTTTCAGCTCTTTGCGAGTTTCCACTGTTTGGGGGTGTCATGGCCACAGATGACGTCTTGTTCGTTGGTGTCGTTGGCATTTCCAAGCATCGTGAAGCACGTGGTCGTTCTTTGTTTGTTGGCCTTCATTTTCTTCGTCGATAGACATTTTACTGAGATCTACTGAGTTCAGCAAATCTCTCAGCTGCGAAATGAACTCAGAGCTTTCTGAAGAGGAACGGCAAAGCAGAGTGGTTATCAACCCAAACGAGGAACAGACAATTTCCGTTGCATTAGAGGACTTCTTGTTCGAGTAATGGTGGCCATCTAGCAGCCGAATGTGGGCACTGTCGATTCTTTGAAAATCGCTTGGAAAACTGGCGACAACAGGCGACCGCTTAAAGTATTGCGTCGGCGTTGATCCACAAACTTTCGAACTTAGAATGAACCAAGTCAATTGTGGACTTAATTCAGGGCTGATGACCGGAGTGAAGGGCGAGAAACCCTTCCTAGGTGCCATCTCTACTGTTACTGAATCACGCGTTTGAAATACGAAACTACATTATCCAGCTGCTAACTCGAGAGTGTTGATAATTTAAGCTAGTCGGCCCATGACATATTTAATGAGATTAAATCAAATTAACTTCGGGATTATCACACCTGGAAAAAACGACTGCGTTGCATCAAGGTTGGAAATGGGCCTTTAAGGACGTGATCACTGTGAAGTACTGAAGCTAATTTCCTGTTTGCTTTGCTTATATAACAACAAGAGAAGAAGCTGTCATCGATCGTTAGGGTCAGCTTGTGCGGATAAAATTGCAGTTACCTTCAAGCCTGGGTAAATAGATTTTAACCAACGAAGAACCGATAGAAAAAAGACAAAGCAAAACATGATTCGCACTTTGTTGAGTTCACGACTTTTACACGTTCTTCACAGAACGGTAGGATTTATGTTTCTCAGCTGTCTTGCTTCAGATGGTATGTGCTCAAACTTATCCTCTTTCGTGTTTGACGCGGACGGTGTTAACAACATTTTTGTATCTAGGGTCTGAATTTTGGATACAGAATTTAAAAATGTAATAACTGCGAATTTTGACACGGTAAACTTTGAAAGGCCGAACTACGGTAAAATAATTTGGAGGCCATTCATCGAAATTGAAAGCGGCTTATACGAACATGCGTCGGTAATAATCTAAGAATCGCTTCTTCCGGGTTTAAAATTTTTATCATTATATAGACAGTACCCCCGTTAATCGCAAAATTCGACGAGAGGAATTAAAAAATACCAAAAAGAATGTGACATTCCTCACAAGATGAATGTTTCCTTCCTTCACAAATTAACTTGAGTTAATGAAACGGCTGAATGCCATATAGACGACAAAATGGCTGGCGGGTAGACGCCGTAAAGTGCCGAATGGAGTACCGTGCTGAAAAAGCACAGACACGTTAATTACTGATTATGCAAGTTTCAGCCACCTAATTACTCAATGTTTGTCTCGCAAAAATGGCTTCGTCGAACTGCGCTCCGTCTAAATGCTCTCAGTTGTATTATATTGCAAAACAAGGCGACGAGATTGTCGTAAAGAGCGCCACTTTCACATTCGTCGACCTTCTCCGAGCTCGACGACTGAGAAAATAGAGAGCACAATGTTCAAAGTTCTTCATACCTTTGCAAAAAAAAAAACACTTCAAGTATCCCATGCAAGAGCTTGCCAAAATTCCCTTCGAGACGGTGAAAATAAATCCGCAGCGATTTTCAACTATTTATGTAAGTACGGGATAGGTGGAACAGAAATCGACTCGCAATTTTAGCTCTGAAATGAGCTATACCATTTTCTTAATTCTCCATAGTTTGCTCTGCTGCATTATGGCCGTCAGGAATGTATGGACTACCCATGCCACAAAGTGGCTGTCCAGGGGCAAATGGATTTCAATGGCAAGAAGGATACATCTACCAGGATCTCGAGGACGAGGGTAATGTTACTACTGTCTCACCGAACTCACAGCTCAAAGGCCGCGTCTCGGGTGATGTCGAACGGTATTTCTGCATAAAGGACAACATATCAGCAACAGTCGAAAGAAATCGACCCCGATGGCCTGCGGGGGAGTATTGCATCTATCAGAAAGGTTCTTATTGTCCAGATGGACTGCAGAGTGGGTTTATATTATGGGATGACGAAGATGGTGTTAGCGGAACAAACAAAAACGCCCATGCTGGCGTTCTTCCAAAAGGAGTATTTGATCGCGACACAAAGATATTCTTTTGCTGTAAGACCACCAGAAACGGATATAAAGAGCCAATAGATCTTCCTTTTGTGTCTCCCTTTTACTTGATGGCGTTTAGACCGCGTTGCCAAGAAGTTCTGTACACTATACATAAGATGGAATACATTGCATATGACACAGAAAATGATCATAATTTTGACCGGAAATGGTTCCCATATCCATACGGAGCCGACTTCTCCCCACCGACAATACATTACTGTTACTATAGAGGTACCAGGCTCTCTTATCATCAAATTGTGGTTTGTAGCAACTATTCATGATAAAATACATCTGATAGCCTGGAGCGCTCACGCAGTAGCAACTGAGTCGAGAAAAGAAACTTCAAATTACGCTTGCTACACCTGGGACAGGTTACAAATTTTAGCAAATTTCGTAGCCTGTATGGCAGCCTTTTCCCTGTCCTTTACACAAAAAGCCATATCTTTATGCTTGCTACCCACTTGGGCTCGTAATGACAATAAAAGGCAATTGTCTTGTAAACGACCCCTCTAAACCCGAACCTCACTTAATAAGGCAATGTTCGATGGATGTGGTCTATCAATCTAAGTGTACCGTAATTTTCAAAAGGGAAAACGGCTTAAGACTTTCTATATGTTAAAACGCTAACGTTAGGGACTAAATACAATATTTTAACCCTTCAACGTAGTAGACTTCACTAGGCGACACCCTTAAACATCGAGGTAGAATTATTGGTCAATGTTTACATATTTTTTCTCAATTTGGTTTTCCTTACATTCGAACAGAGTGCAAACAGACAATGACAGCACTGAATGGCACATTCCGCAGTCCATACTATCCACAAAACTATAACAACAAGGCCTGGTGCAAGTGGCATATTGAAGTCCCTTGGAATTACGCTATTCTGATCACTTTTGATGACGTCAGTTTAGAGTCCGGTTGCTGTTGGTGTGACTTTGTCAACGTGTGGGAAACATTAATGAACGGAACAACAGTTTTGATTGGTTCAGTGTGTAGCATGACAACGCCTCAATTAAATTCCAGTGGTAATAATGTTACGGTTATTTTTCAATCAGATGCTAGTTGGTCTAGCAAAGGATTTCGTGCCAGGTACCAAGCTATAAAGATTAGGGGTAAGCCTAAAAAAAAAGCGAAAAATTTAGACATCTGATAACTGACATAGCTACATTTGACCCTCTCGAAAAAGTGTCATGTCTTTGTATGCTTTATTTTCCAGGTTATTTGCCTTAGCTTTCGATAAGGCGATTGGAGACGGAAGTGCTTACGAAAGGCAAAAGTATACAATAGCCTTTACACGAAATCGAGGTTTTGATATTAATTCTAAGGCTTAACTTAAAAACCAGTAACAAACATTTGTAAAAAAGAAATGAAATGTCAGGTTGGAGTGACCTTAAGGTTCATAGAAGTCCCCTCTTTTTCGAGGAAAAGGTTATAAATACCTCACACTAACCGAGTTGATGGTTCATACTTAAGTTTTCTCCACTGCGATTTGTAGTTTGCCCATGAAAGTCATAACTTTCTTGAAGTTACTTCGGGGAAAGAAAGGGGTAAAATGAGAGATTTTGTCCACACAAACATTTTTCTACTTTGACGAGTTGTTCAGTAAAGTACAGCTCGCAAAATTGACCTATATAAGAACACGTGATAACTGTGATGATAGCTATTAGTATAAAGCAAATATCCAATCTAATTAGAATGTCACAATCTGATTGGCTACGCTACTCGCTATCTATTGCGTAATAGAGAGTAAGTAGAGTGACTAGCCTAACAGCGAGCGGTCGGAAACTTAATAACAAAAATATGCGCTTGGGTTGTTGTTACGTTTTGAATAACTAGAAGATTCTTTAACAATCACTCTTGAGTTTTATGCTGAATAGTTCAGTGATTCGGGCCTTGCCGACATGACCACTATAACGCGATAGAAATCTTATAATCAAGTACAGCGTAGTTTAACCAATTAATGAAAGATAAGCTGACATGCCCCCAAATAGCAATAAGCTGGGCCAGGAATCCTATTCTGGAATATTCCGTATATGCCACAAACATAAAAATACGCTATCTTTCTAAACACAACAGCCAAAACAACTACTAGCACAACCCTTGCCTCAACTCAGACAAACATGGTCAAAGACAAAGTAACTACGACGTCATCAAGCGTAAAGACCACTCAAGAGATATCTTCTACTAGAGAGAGCAAACTCAGCTCTCCAGATAAAACAGATCACACCTCCATGACAAGAGGAAAAGGTTTGTCTGACACATTGGACGATGGAAGCGAGTCTGAGTCAAACACCTCCCTAATTGCTGGATTGACTGCAGCTTTGGTAGTAATTTGTGCGATACTCGCAATAACTTTGTTTTGTTTTCACAAAAAGCGGTAAGTTCAACTTTTTGTTATCGATATTATATCCCTAACCCTTTACCTCCCATGAGTGACTAAGAAAGAATTTCTCCTTACAATATAAATACAATATCATGTATAGAAGTGATGAGAATAAAGAAAAATATCAATTAAGGGATTACTAGTTGATCCAATATCAAATTGTTATCATGAGAATTGTTAAGCAGACAGTAAGGATAATCACTAATAAGATCTTGGGAGGTAAAGGGTTTGTTTAAGCAGACAGTAAGGATAATTACGTTTTCTCATTTAAAATTATGAAGTGCCAATGTGGGGTTTTTCCAACTTCACAAGTGTACATAGCAAGTCGTATAGGAATCTCTCGTAATTTACTTTTCTGATCTCATTTTGAACTCAACTATCGATCGTGAATGGCACCTTTTGAGTAAGCTAGATGTACGGAAAATCTTTACAAAAGTTCGCACACCGCTAGTGAAGCAAACTTTTTGTTTCATCTAGTTTGTTTTTTTTTTTTTTTGATTTTCAAATTTACTGCAGGCGTAGTTGGGAAAATCAAAACAACCGGAACACACCTGCAGTGAGCTTTCAACCGGACGAGAAAGCAGTCTCCATTTACGCCACCCCAACGGATGAGTGTAACACGAGGTAAAACCTGTGAAAGTTTATGGCCAGGGTTTCAATTCGACATTTCTTTGTCACTGATGGTCGTGTCGCTTCTACTTCACTACCTGCATCTGCCGTAAATCCTAAAATTGTCGCGCCCGGTGAGCTTTTTTCAAAGTCAGGTTGAGAGGGAGCAACGGGGCTTGTAACGTGTGTGTGTATATGAAGAATCTTATCAAACACATACTTGCATGTTTTTCTGCTTTCAGTTCTGGCTGTGATGAAGAAGAAAATGATAATCGTTACACATATGTCAACCCGCCTGGAATGTATAATAACAGGTTAAACTAGTTTGCCAATTTTTAACTCGTGAATTGCGCGCATGCGCAAGAGCGAGTTATAGATAAGATGTGGGGAATGCCATTCGCCCGCTCGCTCGCTCGCTCGCTCGATTGGTCGATTCCTGTAAACTTTTTTTAGATTTTAGGCTTTTGAGCGCATTTGATAGTTTTTGGCGAGCAATAAACAGACGAAATGGCGACCTTTGTTGCTAAGATAGTGGTGGGGTGAAAAAGAAGAAAATGATAATCTTAAAAGTTTTTTTTTTCGTTTTAGTTTCAACAAGCGGCGCCAGCGACTGGCAGGCATGCAAGGATTCACACTGAAATAACAGAACAACCTTCGTTTTTCATAAAATTGTAATTTACAATCCTTGAACTTGAAAACAATCCGAAGATTCATTGAAAATATCACTTACTGCGAAGCGCTCGGAGTTTACAGATGTTCAAAAGCTTTTTCTGTTATGGCGTGAGATTGAGGACAAAATTGATCATTACGTTTCGTCGCGTGTGTTTTTCCTGTGTGAAGCAACAAAAGTGCCGGCGACTGACGAAATAACAACTTAACACGAAAATCAAATAACACCTAAACAAACAATTTTAGCTACCGATTTGCAGTGAATTTTTAAAGAGCAATTTTCTTTTCAGTTTCAAGACAATTTGAAGATTCAACATACATACAACGTACTAAAATGCGAAAGTTACACACCACAAAATAGATAAATAGGCCTGAAATGAAATTTTTGTTATTGATTATACGTTGCCTAGCACGTGACTTAAATCTACCCAGGCGGAGATCCAAAATGACGGTGGCAGGCTTGGCTCAGTTATATCACTCAAAAATCGTTCCCGTTTGTCTCATTTGATAAAGAGGAAATCGTTAATGTTTTCATTAAGACAGTATTGCCTTGATTTTCTAATATTTACAACGAAAGACAGTAAATTTCACTTTTCACCCACATTTACTTCCGACCTTTTCTTTTGAACCAGAAACAAAAATGATAGAAAACACATGACATCATCCACCTTGTCAAATGTACTAGCATGATCATTTCAATTGTAATGCCTTCTTATCCCAACGTTACTTTGTTTCTTTGCTACATTAGCGAACACTGAACTACTGCTCGTACTCTAGATATGACAATCAACCACAAAATTCCCTAAACCAGATAACATTAAACATAGTCTAAAAAATCATGTGTCAATTCACGAGTTTGCTCACAGAGCACTTTGATATTGATCAAATCCAAACACTCAAATTGTACGTTTTTCCACAAAATGTGATTCCAAATTGCCTTCTTTCAGCAATGAAACAGTGAAGGAAAGTGACAACCCATTGTACGAAAGGTGAGTTTGCATTTTATCTCTTCAGGAAGCTCAGTTCACCTTCAGTAATTTACTTTAATAAGTCAAGACTGTCTGATCTTAAGGATCGATGTGTGGCACAGGCATGCATGTTTAGCAATATTTCCGGCCACATAGAGGGAGTGGTCAATTCAAATTAAGCTGCAATCTTGACCAAACATTACCAAGACAACCTCTTAACCCTTTAACTCCCATAAGTGATTAATATGTAACTTCTCCTTATAACATCCACACATTATCCTGGCAACATGTATTAAGAATACTCAAACTTATCAGGTAGGTCAGTTAGTAGTCTTGATCTAGCACCAAACACTTGTGACTTATTTACAAGGAAATGTGTAGCAACTAGAGGGGAGAATTAACAATCTGATCTTGGGAGTTAAAGGGTTAAAAACACTCGGAGAAAGTCCATACTTTAAACTCGCTGATGTACACATTACATAAGTCAGTAATGTCGTGTTTTAAAAGTGATAAGCCATCAATGTTGACAGCGGTGGTGGTGATCAGAGGTATGAGTTAATATCCAATGGGGAAGGTTGAAAGAACTCCAAAACAAAAAACATAATATATGCGTTCTTTCACAGAAGTTTCCTGCAACCAATTTTCCAAGGAGTAATAAACTGAGTTATATGAATCGATCTTTAAGGCAATCCAATGGAAGCGTTCTCGAAATACAGAAGCAATAAGAAATATTTTGGTCGCTGATTTTAAAAATAAGGAGCATTCTAGTGTCAAAAAGTAATTCCCATCATTTTCACCACATCTCAGTTACGCATTAAGTAAAACTATCAATCGACCGTTATTCTTTGAAATTTTGAATGAACTCTGAGAAGTAGGAAGATCTTTTGGTTTTCTTTTTCAATTTTAATATTAAATTATTCGTTTATTGAAAGTATGGCCACCTCTGCAAGAAATCCTGTCAAACAAAGTGAAAATCCTCTCTACATAGGCGGGTTAGCCAATGAGTATTCATACTTTATATTTTTTGAAAGACAAGATCAGTTGGTTTGTTTGTTTGTTGTTTTTATTTTCAGTAATTTATAACTGTTTTTTGTTCTCTCAGTGCTGAAAGCGGGAAGACAGCTGATGCAGGAATGTATGAAAGGTAGGGAAGTATTCCTCTCTACCTAACACCGGCCCTGGAACAGAAAACTGCCCCCTAAATCAACCAATCCCAGCATGCGCCGTTACTGAGAGACAAAATCTGAGAGAAACGATTAAGAGGCCTGTTCGGAAACAGGAGTTCACTACAGACAGCATATTCCCGATTTTCCACTTAAAAAATACACATTCATCAAAAGTGAGCTACGCATTAAAAAGCAAAACTACCAAATGATTCCATCAAATGAAACGTACATAAATTAATTAACATTATACCAAGATCGTTCTTCTTGTGACAGTCTTTCATTGAGTAAACCATAACTGCATTCAAAGGTCATGGTTCCTATCAACTGCCCCCTCCCCTCCCCCCACCCTCTATGGCTTCAAATACTTTTTTTTTTTACTGTTGTTCTCAAACTTTTTTCAGTTTGGATCAGCCTGACCCAAATCGTGATGAAGGCATCTACAGTTCACTGTACGAGAGGTATCTATCATAGATTTAAGTTAAGTGTTTGCCAATATCCCAACCTACCATAAATCCTCTGGTAAATCACGGACCAATTGCAATGAGTGTCCCCATTTATGAACGTCATCCAGGCACATGGCGGCAAATTATCACGAATAATTCAAAATATTAGAATTTACGAAGTTCTAAGGTACTTGGTAAAATTTCTGGTTTGCTATGAAGACGAAAAGTCAACCTTAACGCTTTCCTTTGGCGATTTGTAAGGATTCATAAATACTTCGGAATACTGAGCACCGAAAAAAAATCCTGCCATTTGCTCAAAACTGCATTGCTTTAATCTGTTTTCTTTCATTTATTGAATAAACTACACAGTGAAAGTTTCAAATAAGATTAAAATGTTATTCTCATTCTTTTGCATTTTAGGATGCCTTTAACTTGAAAAAGTTTCAAGGAGCCTGTTAAGAGGAATGACATCTCTTACTACTATATGTAACTTTTTGTTATGTTAATCTCTACAATCAAAGACAAGAAGATTTGCAGTACAACTGCTAATTATTCATTAATTTAAGAGAAGCAATTTGTTTCACAGAAACATGTAATCAGCCCCTAAACAAATAGAGGCATGTGTCGTTGTATAATCGCCTTTGCAGCCGCATTTTGGTCTCGTCACACAATGCCCTCTTTCCCGCGTTGCGTGACCAGATCAAACAATGCCTTGCAAGGACACTGATCATCTTTTCGATCTCGCTCGACTCTCTGATTGGATGTCCAGTCTCAGTAATTGTCCTGATGTAGTATCCACGCTGTTTGCGTAAAGGAAAAGGAAATAATCAATCACGTTGTTGGACCGTTCATAGAGATAATTTAACTCTTACTGTAGTTGATCAGTATTTTATACTGTCAAGTGCCGCCCTCGAAAAACAAAGTTTATTATTATTATTATTATTATTATTATTATTATCATTATTATTATTACGACTGAAACCCATGCCACGAATTTGCCAAACGTAACATACAGCAAGGAATGTCCGCGCTCTTTCATCTCATTTTCTGTTCTGTGGTTTTATAATAACATGGACTCGTAGACTCTTTATCTTAAGGAGCAATAGCTGGCGTGGAACATTTTGGCAGGTATAAAATTGGTATCAATTGAGGAAAACAAATACGAAAGTATTTACCTTTTGACAAAATCAGCTCCGATAATATCATAGACATGGTATCTTATTCCAAGCTTGGAATGAGAATCAAATTTACGGGTGAGAAGATCCTGTTTAAGACCAAACGAAAAACAGAGTAAACCCAAGGACATACAAGCACATGTAAGCTATATACCTGCATATCGTTTTGGACTGACTTAAAAGTCCAAAGGATGAGTCAATTCCACGCTTTCACTAATCAAGTTATGGTGATTAAAAAGATATTTACGATAGAAAAACCCAAAAGCAAAACAGGGTGAATGAACCCAAGGACATGCATATACAAGTACGCTATAACTGTACATCATTTCGGACTGCCTTGAGTCCAATGGGTGAGTTAAAGGCAAAGGAAGTTTCTAAGCCGTTCCTGACCTAACAAAGTTGTGATGATTTTAAAAACATTATAACAGACAAACCCAACAATTAAGAAAACCAATAATATTTCTTTGAATTTAGCGCAATGGCTTAGCAAAACAAATGTACTTGTGCACAACAAAATTTGATGTCAACGTATGATCTCAAAGGTTCATTGAAAATATTGAAAATAATAGTCATGTATTTATGATTTAATATGCTTCATCCCTTAACTATATTTTTGAGAGTTTGTTTGTTTGTTTTCATCTGCATTTTTTCTGGTATGGTTATTATTCTGTTAGCCTATTCTTATAAAGGTCTGTCTTTGTAAGTATGCATGCATATTCTAGGAAAACCCAAATCATCACAAATAAAATAGTAGTTAAGAATACAATCACATTGTTTTTTTACTCATTTCTGCTTCTAATTATGAGTAAAACTCCCAGGATTAGTCTACTAAGCATTTCACTGCACCCTTGCAGCAGTACACTGATTACATGACTATTTTGTTGTGATAAATTTCCGCATGCTGTGCTCTGAGGGGTGAAAACGCTTTGTGTTCAAGGGTAAAAAAGGACTGTAAGCTACATGTATGGTAAGCTGAACTTTTGATTGTTTCTGCAGTTACTATCTTTCAAGTTTTCCGCTTAACCCTTTAAACCCTAGGAGTGATCAGTATCTAATTTCTCCTCACAGGAATACTGCTATAAACCATTCATTAGGATCATGTGAATAAAGGAAATGATCGCCAACCTAAGAAGCTTTGATCTACAAATGAATTCTCCTTGTCAGAACCAAAAGAAACATATGGGGAAGAGTTTGGAGATTATGGATACTGATGTTAAGGGTCTAAAGAGTTCATGTCTTTTAAGCTCTGGCTGCTTTCTGCAGCTTTGCAACGGAAAAGAGCACAGTCAAGACCTTTTCATGATTTTACTTTCTTTTTAACAAATAGTTAAAATACTATTATAGTTTTGGAGAAAATTAGATAAGGAAATGAGAAAATTGATCAAGCATTTTAACATACCTTCTCAAGAATCTCCCGATATTTCCTCTTTTTGAACATTTGAATAAGAGCTTTTCTTCCTTAAAAGAAAATCAACATTTGTTCCAACATTAAATTTAACAGTTTTATGGCAAGTCTTGAGTTACATCCATGTAAATATATATCAGTGATGACAATAGTACCAATAAGAGTAATGTCCATAATAGTAATGTAAATAAAAACAATAAGAAGTAAAGTAATAGCAGTAATAAAACTAATGCACAGGTAGAGTTGACCTATTTTTTTTCCTACACAGAAATTTGTTTATTGAGAAAATTACTGTCAAGTAACCAGAAGCTAATAAAATTCTGGCAAGTTCTGTTGTACATGTTCCTCATGTGAGGCCTTTAACCTTATAACTCTTATTAGTGAACAAGACAGAATTTCTCTTCACAATATCAACTCGATATCAAGCAGAAAAATGATGAAAATAAAGAAAAATATCAATTAGGGGAGTACTAGTTGATCTAATACCAAATTCTCCAAACTAACATCATAGGGATTTTATGGCAACCATTAAGGAGAATTATTAATGAGATCTAGACACCAAAAGCATATTCAAGAATAGCTCGTGGAGATACTGTGACACTTAAATGGGGTGAGTAATGCAAATAACACACATCTCCCATAGTAATTCACTTTCATAAATTAAAATAGAAAACATTTTCCCTTTACCATTAGAGAAGTTTTTCATAAAGATTCCTGCACCAGGGATGGATAGCCACCAACTTCCCACATCTCTGGTTGTAAAGATACCAATGTTGACCAGTTGCCTATAAATCACACCAAAATGCACATGAAATAATACAAACTTCACAAATAAAGCATGGGCTGTGCCGTACGAACCCCATGTTGTGATTCAAGTCCCAGAATTTTCTTCCCATATTTAGTATTCTGTTTCAACTACACTTGTGTTCAGAGGAAACCTCTGGATGTATCGCGCGGACAGAGGAGGGCAATAAAACTGAGCGTTTTTCATAAAAAAAGCCTGTGTTGGCTGAGAAGCTTTAAGACAATTCTAGCTATTTTTTGTAATTATTTACAGAGGTGGATTACTTTCTCCACTTTTCGTAAAACGCTAATTCGACAATTTGTTTCCTAGCAATTAGAGATTAACCATTGTTGTGCAATGTATGAAACCTGACATGCTGTATCAAGCGGACGCTAGCAAGCTTAAAAGTTCCGAAGGTGTCCATTTAGTTCGTGTTTCACTGTGAAATTTTCAAAAGCCACAAAAAGTTTCAGTTACAAAACAGGACACGTTTGTAAATTCGATTGCAATTTCATGCTATAACATTTCTGTAATTTACGTAAGGGCCTAATTGGGCCTTAATCTGTAAGGGCCTAATTGGGCCTAAATCTGTAAGGGCCTAATTTACGTAAGGGCCTAATTGGGCCTAATTCTGTAAGGGCCTAATTCTAGAAGATCTTTGATCAGCTTGTTTTAGCACTGCATGCTTCATGTTTTGTTGCAAGGTTGTCAGGATAACAACATGCTTTGTTCGTATTGGGCATCAATCGGTGAATGTAAAAAGAACCCAAACTACATGTTATACAGTTGCCGCAAGAGTTGTAACGCTTGCAAAGGTAGGCATAGTTAGTTACGACACATTGTGGTAAATACGTACTCTTAGATCTAACCTACAACCTTGAAAGGTATAATCAAATTTTAATGAAGAGACACAGAAATAACCTTTATGCATGTTTAGGCGTCGGAACCCAGTTTCTGACGAATGTACCACCAAGACACTGACAAGAATAGAATGCTCACACAAAAGCAACTAAAAAGTGCGGCAAAGATAAATGAAACGCGTGTTAACCGTCGTGTTTCCGCAACGGTTTCACATATTTCATCCAAGTTTCCGTTTAAGAATTCTTGATATTTCGTCCTGTGGTTTCCATCGCACACTTAAGTACTATAATTTCTATACTCACAATGGTTCTACTTTGTGCCTTTTTTTAACACCTTAGTTTACTGATAGCAACTTTTTATATATCTCATAAATACTTTATCCACGAGTTGGCTAAAGGCGCCCTTTGATTTTTATCTTCATATGCTTACAGAGTTCCTTTATATACTAGATCTGTTCTTTTGATTTTGGTCCTATTGCTTTTAACATAATAGCTCCCCCACCCCCTTAATTCAGCGCCCTCCTTGAAGTGCCCCTCCTCTACGCCGAAATTTCAAACTCGCGACCAGGCGCTTATTCAGAAATACGATGTACGGATAACTGATGATATTTTCTCATTTCAGCTTTTGGCAATTCCGTCAAATGGCCGTCGGGAAAATACGGTCTACCTATGACTAAATCTGGTTGTCCTGGGGCTGACGGTTTCTCTTGGGAGACCGGATATATCTATCAAGATTTGGAGGATGACAAAAGCCTTACGGCGAAATCTCCAAACTTTCACCTTAATGCTTCAGTACTGAGTTCGGGAGATGTTACTCAAAGCTTCTGCTTCAAGACAATTACGACCGGTGCTGTTGATAACGGTCGATTTGGTTGGACTTACGGTCAATACTGCATTTATAAAAAAGGCTCTTCATGTCCAGGCTATCTACGAGAAGGAATCGTCTTGTGGGATGATGAAAACGGGAAACATGGAATAAATTTGAATTTCAAATCTGGTACTGTCCCTGCTGGAACGTACAAATCGGATACTGAGATAAGGTTTTGTTGTCAAGATGTTGGATCGTACAGCGAACCTATCGAGCTGCCAATAGACAAGCCTTTCTATCTGATAGCTTTTAACAGTAGGAACTGCCAAGAAGTTTTGAAAACAACACATACGTTGGAGTATATACTGTATGACACAGAGAATGATCACAATCATAACCGCGCGGTCTATTCTTATCCTTTTGGTGCGGATCTTCAAAATCCCTACATTTATTATTGCTATTACCAAGGTAAGCGATGGTTTTCTGGGTTATTTTTGCTTAAGGAAATCTAGACAGACTGTATGTAAAATTACAAAACTTGTAGACTACTTGGGACTGAGACATTGAATCCTTTTCTAATGGCCAGTTCCATGACCTAATGATGATTTGTGCCCAACTAACTTATGAGGCAGAGGAAGTGAGTTTAAAGAGCTTGGGTTCGCACCTAGTTCTACTGGGTTGTGATAAGCTTGCTGCATGGTGCTTAACCATAGAACTGGGTGTAGTGGAAAATTCGAGTACAAAAAATTAAATGGAATATTTAACAATCTTCATTCCCAACCTTCTTGGCAAGCCACCAAAGTTAGAAGAAGAGAAAAACTTCCTGAAAGCTTTGATCAGATTAAACTTTTAATGCTGTTTCCCCAATCACGGGAGGAAAAAACGGGTTCAAAAACGATTTTTTTTATGGGCGTTGTGCATAGTATCTATACTACCGTGACTCTGAAGATAAAGGACCTCGCATGGTGGCATCAAAGTTCCTCTGCCCATTCATGGGTACATAACTGTGCCGTGAAACTTCCACGAAAAATTGGCAAATTGTTAGAAGTAGCCTGTTATGTCCTACATTTCGTACGGGGGAGTAGCTTTAATAATCCTTGATGTTTCATGTTATGAAAAGCGGGAAAACTTCTGGTAGTGTTACAGTTATGTGACTTGAGGAAATAGTTGTCGGTCAAAGAACGTCTCACAAGCTGGTTCGATTCATTTCCACGTATTTTCTTTGCAGCGTGTAGATGGACCTTAACAGCATTGAATGGTTCCTTCTCAAGTCCAAACTATCCATCTCCATATAAGGAAAAGGCCTGGTGTGAGTGGCATATCAATGTCCCCTGGAACTACATAATTTCATTGACATTTGTTGACTTCCGTTTGGAAACGAGTGATATGTGTCTCTTTCAAAGCTGTGATTGCGACTATGTAGAGATACACGACAACTTTCCAAATGGAACGTCTGAACTAACAGGGAAATACTGTATGGGTGTGGCGTATCCGCCTGGGGATATCCGGTCAAAAACCAATAACGTTACAGTTACATTTACCTCAGATGGTACTGTCCAAGACGTGGGTTTTAAGGCTGAATATCATGCTCTCCAGCTTACAAGTAAGAATAGTAGCTTGCTCTTTATTATAAAAGCTGTCAGCAAGGCTCTCTCCAAATGGTCGATGTTACGATAGTGATCTGGGCATTTGAATTAGTTTGCTTGTTACAGAATTAAGATTTGATCTTGTATTAGTAAGTGTCTTGTTTCTGTAATGTTTTAGATTCGCCTATTTAAGAATATAGCAATTAACAAAGGCCATCAATCACACACACGCAAACTTACGTTAATTCTGTATTTCGTTTTTCCTCAACAAAGTACCAACAAGTACGGGGAGAACAACGGATACCACGCAGAAAGCGACATCAACCGACATCACTTCTGTCAGTCCTACCACAGTTCCGATTACTGGAGCAAATTCCAGAGGCACAACAAGTGGAAATGATAAGTCTCCTACTGCCGGAAATACAGCAACACTTACTTCTTTAAGCAACAACAGCAAAATTACAACTAGTACAACAATCACACCAGCTAAAGAATCCTCTACGGAACAATCAACCCTAACAACGCGCTCAAGTAGGCATTCAACATCGCAAAAAGCATCCTCAGTTCATACCAATCCAAACGGATCGTTTACCTCCCCATTTACGAACATACCTGTGACAACACTACCAATCATAACTGAGGTGCCTCCGAGAACAAGGCCGCGTGAAACCACCCAGAGAACTTCAACCTCAAGGGTAACGAGTGGAGAACTCTTTCCACTAACCGAATCAAGGAGTAAGGGGGAACCGAGAAACTCGAATGGAGAAACCGAACAGAAGGCTGAATACAAAAATTCAAGAGCATCGGGGAAAGTTCCCATCATTATTGCTTTGATAGCTTCGTTGGCTGCTTTAGCTGTGGTGGTAACAGTAGCACTTGTTTGTCTCCGTAGAAACTGGTATGGATAATCGATGACCTATCGCAAATTAGTCGATAACTGATCGCACAGTGACCATGACTTCTCATTACAATGAAAGAAGTTAAGCGTAACGATCAGAGTTCAAGGCATAATCATTTGGGGTCACTTCTAACACTAATGTTTCAACGGCAGTTTTGAGACATACCACGATGTAATACCTTCACAGATTTCCTATCTTTATTAAAAGAAAAATAGGTGTGGACTTCCATGAAATATCTTAGGCCTTTGAGGGACATCAAAGACCAGATTTTACAGCTTATCAGTTCGAAAATAAACAACGCAGGCAAAAATTCATTAAAAATGTATAATAGCGGTTGTATAAAATTCTTGATACTAACTATTTACCCTTTTAATTGAATTCTAGGCGGTTCAAAAGGACAGACAACGGTCATAACAAATTTACTGTCAGCTACACAGCTAGTGAGAAGATAGCTGAAGACGATAACAACCCTCCAAACATGTACAACGAAAGGTGTGCACAGAATTCGACGTTTATAGTTTGTGTTCCTTTCAGTTGCCGTCCCTCATTGTATTACAGCTGTTGATATCAACTAGTGTAGAAGATACCGACAACGTAATGAATTCGCGGTAGTTAAAGAGACAGCATTTTTCGTTAGTTGAGAATCTTAATAAATGAAAGATCCCTTGACGATGCAATGTTTGACACTGCTTTTGGGTGCGACAAATTTAAGGGAAATCGGAAATTCACAGCCGACACACCTGTAAGTCACTCTGAGGCGACGAGGCCTCCTTGTAGAGCACTAAACCTCGCCGAGATTGATTGTAATTGACTATGAATCGCAGTCAATACACTTCGTTGCCTTACAAATCGGGCGATGTCCTACGAAGAAGGTGGGCACTTGAGATGCCCTGTAGTATGGGCGAGCCCTAACACAGCTGAAGTCAGCGTTTAAGCGAGTCAATTCTCTTCTTTGCTTCCTAATTCTCCTAACACTGATGTTACATTATGGTGTAAATTTTCGTCAAAAAATCGGCACCAAGCACAGCTACTAAAAACCAGCCAATCACTGCGGAGCATAGTTATTCTTAAGTGGACAGGTAACCAGTCGATCTAATTCTCTGCAGAAAACTGGCGGTGTACAGTCGTAACGTCGAGGAAGTATGTACAAAAGAAAATAAAATCCTTGTAGATCTGTAGGTAATGTTTTCTGTTACCAGTTTCAGCAGAGAAAATGAGAGAGGAGAACGCTACACCACGGAAACGTTGACAAAGAAGGAACAATTCAACATTTTATACGATAACAGGTACGACTATTTTTCTAATATTAAAAGTGTTTAAGATACCTAAAGCATACCCGAGAATAGCGATTCCTTGAGATGATGAGAATTTTTTGTTTTGTCTTTTTCAAAACAGGGATTTTATGGATTCCTATGACCAGTTTGCGGATGATGACGAGATCAAAGAGAGTGACAATCCACTCTATTGCAGCAGGTCAGAAATGCAGTAGTACTGTCCCTAACCATAAAAGATCTTTAATTTGGTAACATCATAGATAGTTTTAATGGACCAAATAGCTTAAATTTTGCCACGTATTAGTCCAGCTTCATGTATTTGTCAACGATGACGTACCAGTGTGCCTCATCATAGATAGTTTTGATGGAGCAAACAGTTTATTTTTGCCATGTGTCATTCCAGCTTTATGTATTTGTCAAAGATGATGTTTCTGTATCGTATGAACAAAAAGAGGCTATTATGAAAAAAATAGGCTCGAGGGGAATCGTAAATGTGACAGAACCCCAAAGCAATCCTCCAAAGAAATCTTGAAGGATGAAGTACACATTAACCATACTTATAAAAATTATGAAATCAGTGAGAATCACCGGAAACGCTTTTTTGCGGTGCGTTTGTTCACTATTAAACGACACATGAAGCCAAAACGGAAAAACAGGTGTTTAATGTGAACACTTGCCTATCAATACCGTGGCACGGGCTCGATTCCTGTACTTAGCATTACTAGTGGGTTACGTTGCCTTTGGTTCTCGCCCTTAAACCCACGGTGTTTCTGTAGGCTTACTGCTTTTCTGCCTTCCACCAAAGTCAACACAGTCAGTGTGATAGTGACAAAGAAGAGCTATTTTGTAAATGCGCGCGGCTTAATTTGATTTATTTTAATGCTTAATCAAAAGTGTAGTATATATAAGAGTCGAGCTAATGTGCCGCTGACCAAATACTCTGTGATCTGCAAATAGTAAAATAGAGCCATACTCACGTTTCCAATTCTCTTATCACCTTCAGCATCGAAACTGGACAAGACGAAAAAGAGAACATTTTGTACGAAAGGTAAATACCTTAAACAATTATCACAGCTGTTCTGTTCTTCTAGTTAGTTTTTTTGCGTGGCATGACTTGAGTGATTATCTCGTTCTAGCATGGATGATGTTTTACAAAGTGTAGAAGAGGCTGAATGCATCAATCCGGTGTATGAAGGGTCAGTGTTACATTATCAGCTCTAAACGTAGCCTTGGTTTTGCTGCCATGCATGATTGGGCAGGAAGTTGCGTTGTAAGAGAATACTTGGATACATATGCATCCTACTAGAACCTCAGTTAATGATAACATAATATTGATCTATAAAAATGTTTCTTCTTTACATCGAGAACAAACTTATCGCACTTGTTTCAAGCTGGGTTTCGCTACCTTATACGGGCAAAGATTTGTCACGATCATACTCATACAAGACATTGTATAATCTCTTGCTCTTTATAGACCTTACGCAACGATTCAACCATGCAGTAGTAACATCATTCATTTCATTTGTTTAAACAGGAGATCATACCTTATTGGTCCAAGGTTGAAATTAAAAGTCATTCAAGAGTAAATTTCATCATGTGAAATTATTTCAATAAATACATTTTTTGATGTTAATAAGTTAAACAAAAGCGCAATTAAAGGGAAGGAAAGAGTAATTAATAACATTTTTAAACTGCCATTTTTTTCTCTCGATTTCAGGATGGTCTAATATATGTGTGACGACTGTGGACTGAAAGTATACTTCGTTGATTTTCAATTTTTAGGCTTTCCGCAAGATAATAGACGCGTTGATTGAACTTAAATTTGCAAGTGCAAAACAGCCATGGTGTGGTCAGACAATACTTTTTCAAGACTTCATAATCAGACATGTTTCAATAATGTCCATTTAGATGAATCGACGTTGCTTATTGGAAACGTCTTACTTACAAACAAAGAATCTGATCCTGAATGGAAGGCACTTGAAGCTTGTGAGCTAAATCTCATAGCAACTATACCTGGCCCTAAATCATAACCAAGCAAGCAATGAACGGCTATGTCAAGGCTAATAGTTGGGTGTAATTATTAAGTATGCCACAAAGCCAAACGTTGAAAGCAAGGCAAATTCTAATCGGTTTTTTATTCCCTCGTAAAGGAATCTCTTCAGTCACAAATAAGTTGCAATTCATACTTTCACCTTTAAATAAGGTAACAAGGAAGGAATCGACCACTCCGTCGTCAACTGCAGGATAACAGTTAATCGCCGATGAAACTGATCTTCTAGTAAAGAAAATTATAAGACTTGCAATACACCCTTTTTTCGGTCAAAATGGCAACAGCTGTTGATGTTTTTATCAGCCTTGCGTTAAGAGAGGCAACGGGCTGTACTTTGTCTGGAGAAGGGAGATAGAAACGCCACCGTTTTGCTTCAAGGCACTAGATTATTCTAATCACCTAAGTCTTTACCGCAATTCCTACATGAGTGATGTTTTCATATACAACTGAAGGTGGACCAGCTAAAGAAAGTGTTCCTTTAAGAACATGGAGAAAAAAAAATCGGCAGTAACGAATAAAGCACTAAAGAGAAAGGAATCTTTGTTTGAAAACTTCCGAAGAGGAAAAATTAAATTTTAATTAACCGAGGTGAGGTGTTTCTTCGCCCTCCGGGCCGATTTCATATCATCACCACGCGAAAATGACACAAATTACTCTACTGAATATGTTTAACATTTCAACACTCCCATAGAGTTTTTAGCTTGTGATACGACTCCCTGCTATCTGGAAAAACATAGCGAACAATACATATTACGGTGATAGCCAGATAGTGGTCATGCTACCAAAGGGGAAAACATTTTCAAATTCAAGTTTCTGCACGTTTGGCCCAAATATGACAACCAGTTTTATTATAAATTCTCCTGTATTCAATTTCAAAGTTCATCCCCATATCGAATTGATTTGAGTTAACATGTGTCAAACCTAATTCTTAAATCCATTTATATATCCCACGTACTTGGTAAAATCTACCTAAACTCGTCCTCTTATCGATAGTTCTTTATTCAAATTTCACACTGATCTAATTTGATTAACGAACTGCACGCAGCTCGTCTTTGAAATCAGCTTTGGCATTGTTCAGAATTGAGACATGACGGTTCTCGCGACATCGAAATATGTAATTTCGCATTTTGTAATAGTTTGATTTCGTCGGAAAACACAAGATCAAGTTCCCAAATTCAATTAAATTAACGAGGATAAAATTGTCACATTCCTGTCATTTAAACACAATGCGGAAATTGTCAGAAGATTTAATAGTTTGCTTTGACGCGTGATAAGAATACTCGAAACAAGTCATAAAAAATAGAAAATAAGATTTAAACTCTGTTCTTCCATTGAATATCGATTTTCTATCAAGCCGCAAGGCATTCGATTAAAATTTGATCAGCCCTGTTAAAGGACAGAACGTCAGTGAGGCCGGGACATTTAAGGACGTGATCATTGTGAAGTACTCAAGCTAATTTCCTGTTTGCTTTGCTTATGTAACAACAAGGTCACGCATGAATCGTATGACTGTGACCAACCTCGATCGCGAAGAGAAGAAGCTGTCATCGATCGATAGGGTCAGCTCGAGCGAATAAAATTGCAGTTACCTTCAAGCCTGGGTAAATAGATTTTAACCAACGAGGAACCGATGGGAAAAAAACACAAAACATGGTTCGTAATTTGTTGATTTCACGACTTTTACACGTTCTTCCCAGAACGGTAGGATTTCTGTGTCTCAGCTGTCTTGCTTTAGAAGGTATGTGCTCAAACTTATTCTCTTTCGTGTTTGACGCGGACGGTGTCAACAACACTGATTTATGTGTTTTTGTATCTAGGGTCTGAATTTTGGATACAGAATTGAAAAATGTATTAACTACGAATTTTGACTCGGTAAACTTTGAAAGGCCCGGCATATATCACCGAGCTACGGTAAAATAATTTTCAGGCCATTTATCGAAATTGAAAGCGGCTTATGCGTAGATGTTTCAGTAAAAATCTAAGAATCACTTCTCCCGAGTTTAAGATTTTATCATTATAGAGACAGTGCCGCCTATAGCCGCCCTTAATCGCAAAATTCGATGAGAGGAATTCAAAAAAAGAATGTGACATTCCTCGCAAGATGAATGTTTTCTTCCTTCACAAATTAACTTGGGCAATGAAACCCAGCGGGTAGTACCGTGCTGAAAAAAGCACAGACGCATTAATTTCTGATCATGCAAATTTCAGCCACCTAACTAATCAATATTTGTCTCGCAAGAATGGCCTCCGTCTAAATGCTCTCAGTTGTATCATAAAACAGGGCGACGTGATTGTCGTAAAGAGCGTAATTTTCACATTCGTCGAGCTTCTCCACCATCGAGCACAATGTTCAAAGTTCTTCATACCTTTACAACAACAACAAAAAAAACTTCAAGTATCCCCTGCAAGAGTTTGCCACAATTCCCTTCGAGACAGTGAAAATAAATCCGCAGGGGTTTTCAACTATTTATGTAAGTTCGGGATAGGTTGAACAGAAATCGACTCGCAATTTTAGCTCTGAAATAAGCTAAACCTCTATCTTAATTCTCCACAGTTTGCTGTACCGCATTATGGCCGTCAGGAATGTATGGACTACCCATGCCAAAAAGTGGCTGCCCAGGGGCAAATGGATTTCAATGGCAAACAGGATACATCTACCAGGATCTCGAGGACGAGGATAGTGTTACTTCTGTCTCTCCGAACTCTCAGCTCAAAGGCCGGGTCTCGGGTGATGTCGAAATGTATTTCTGCATAAAGGACAACATATCAGCATCAGTCGAAAGAAATCGATCCCGATGGCCTGCGGGGGAGTACTGCATCTATCAGAAAGGCTCTGATTGTCCAGATGGACTGCAGAGTGGGTTTATATTATGGGATGACGAAAACGGTGCTGGCGGAATAAACAAAAACGCCCATGCCTGCGTTCTTCCAAGAGGAGTATTTGATAACGACACAAAGATATTCTTTTGCTGTAAGACCACCAATAACGGATATAAAGAGCCAATAGATCTTCCTTTTGCGTCTCCCTTTTACTTGATGGCGTTTAGACGGCGTTGCCAAGAAGTTCTGTACACCATACATAAGATGGAATACATTACATATGACACAGAAGATGATCATAATATAGACAAGAATTCGTTCCCATATCCCCATGGAGCTGACTTCTACGTGCCGAAAATACGTTACTGTTACTATAGAGGTAACAGGCTCTCTTATCATCAAGTTGTGGTTTGTAGCAACTAGTAATGATAAAAAAAAACATCTGATAGGCTGGAGCGCTCACGCAGAACCAAGTCGAGAAATGAAGCTTCAAATTACGCTTGCTACACCTGCGACAGGTTACGAATTTTTGCAAATGTCGTAGCCTGTATGGCAGTCTTTTCCCTGTTCTTTAAACAAAACAGGAAAATGGAGTCATGCAAAGGCGTGGGGCGAAATCCATATGTATACGCTTGCTACCCACTTGGGTCAAGCTTCTCATGCTAAAAATTGTTGAAAGGAAACAAACGTAGTCAGAGAGGGACGGATATGCGTCCCTCCTGTCTGTTGTCAGTTCTCTTTTTGGATTGATTTTGAAGGCCAACCACTCAGTTTCCATCCTACAATGCCGCTAATATTTCAACTTCGGAATAAGGCCTGGATGTTCACGCTTGTGTGACCCGATCGGTTTTCGACTTTCTTACCTTATCTCCTTCCTCCATAAGCCTGCCTGTAATGATGAAGGACGTCATCGACACGAAATGCTTGTAATGACAATAAAAGGCAGTTGTCTTGTGAACGAATCCTCCAAACCCGAATCTTACTTAGCAAGGTAATGTTCGATGGATGTGGTTTATCAATCTAAGTGTACCGTAATTTTCAAAAGGGAAAACGGCTTAAGACTTTCTATATGTTAAAACGCTAACGTTAGGGACTCAATACAGTATTTTAACCCTTCAACGTAGTAGACTTCACCAGGCGACACCCTTAAACATCGAGGTAGAATTATTGGTCAATGTTTACATATTGTTTCTCAATTTGGTTTTCCTTACATTCGAACAGAGTGCACACAGACAATGACAGCACTGAATGGCACATTCCGCAGTCCATACTATCCACAAAACTATAACAACAAGGCCTGGTGCAAGTGGCATATTGAAGTCCCTTGGAATTACGCTATTCTGATCACTTTTGATGACGTCAGTTTAGAGTCCGGTTGCTGTTGGTGTGACTTTGTCAACGTGTGGGAAACATTAATGAACGGAACAACAACTTTGATTGGTTCAGTCTGCGACATGACAACGCCACAATTAAATTCCACTGGTAACAATGTTACAGTTATTTTTCGATCAGATTTTAGTCAGTCAGGCAAAGGATTTCGTGCCAGGTACCAAGTTATAAAGATTAAGGGTAAGTCTAAAAAAGCCTTAAACATTTAGACATCCGATAACTTACATAGCTACATTTGACTCTCTCGAAAAAGGGTGATGTCTTTGTATGCTTTAATTTTCCAGGTTATTTGCCTTTCGATAAAGCGATCAGAGACGGATGTGCTTAATAAAGGCAAAAGTATTCAGTAGCCTTTACATGAAATTGAGGTTTTGATATGATTTCTAGCGCTTGACTTAAAAGCCTTAATGAAAATTTGTAAATAAGATTGAAATGTAAAGGCGTAGCATGGAGTGACCGTGAGGTTAATAGAGGTCCCCTCTTTTTCGAGGAAAAAAGTAAAAAATACCTCACACTAACCGAGTTAATGGTTCATTCTTAAGTTTTTTCCGCTGCGATTTTCTCTTTGGCCACGAAAGTCATAACTTTCTTGAAGTTACTTCGGGGGAGGGAAGGGGTAAAATGAGGGATTTTGTCCACACAAACAGTTTTCTACTTCAACAAGCTGCTCAGTAGAGTACAGCTCGCAAAATTGACCGATACAAGAAGACGTAGTAACTGTGATGGTGGCTATTAATATGAAGCGAATATGCAATCTAATCGAAAGTCACAATCTGATTGGCTACGCTACTCGCTATCTATTGCGTAATAGACTGTCAGTAGGGTGAGTAGCTTAACAGCATGCGGTTGCAAACATAATAACAAGAATATGCGCTGGGGTTGTTGTTACGTTTTGAATAACTGAAAGATTTTTAATTCTATACTCACTCACTCTCGATTTTTATGCTGAATAGTTCAGTGATTAAGGCTTTGCCCACATGACCACTATAACGCGATAGAAATCTTATAATCAAGTACAGCGTAGTTTAACCAATTAGTGGAAGATAAACTGACATGCCCTCAAATAGCAATAAGCTGGGCCAGGAATGCTATTCTGGAATATTCTGTGTATGCCACAAACATAAAGTTATGCTATTTTTCTTAACACAGCAGCCAAAACAACTACAAGCACAACCACTGCCTTAACTCTGACAAACATAGTCAAAGACAAAGTAACTACAACGTCATCAAGCGTAGAGACCACTCAAGAGATATCTTCTACTAGAGAGAGCAAAGTCAGCTCTAAAAAAAAAAAACAGATCACATTTCTACGACGAGAGAAGGTTCTTCTGACACATTGGAAGATGGAAGAGAGTCTGAGTCAAACAGCTCTATAATTGCTGGATTAACTGCAGCTTTGGTAGTAATGTGTGCGATGTTCGCGGTTTCTTTGTTTTGTTTTTACAGAAAGCGGTAAGTTCAACCTTTTGTGATCGATGTTGTATCCTTTACCCTTTACCTCCCATAAGTGACCCAAAGAGAATTTCTCCTTACAATTTCAATACAATATCAAGCTCAGAAGTGATGAGAATAAAGGAAAATTTCAGTTAGGGGATTAATAATTGATTCAATGCCAAATTCTCCAAATTGACATCATAAGAATTCTTTGGCAGATTGTAAGGAGAATTATTAATGAGATCTTGGGGGTTAAAGGGTTAAAATGCAACATCGTTTTCTCATTTTTTCTGAACCCAACTATCGATTGTGAATAGCACCCTTTGAGTAACCTAGATGTGCGGAAAATCTTTACAAAAGTTCGCACACAGTTAGTGTAGCAAAGCTTTTTATTTCATCCAGTTTTTCTGTTTTGGATTCTCAAATTTATTGCAGGAGTAGCCGGAAAAATCAAACCAACCGGAACACACCTGCGGTAAGCTTTCGACCGGACGAGGAAGTAGTCGCCATTTACGCCACCCCAACGGATGTGTCTAACACGAGGTAAAACCTAAAAAGGTTTGTGGCTAGGGTTGCAATTCTACATTTCTTTGTCACTGATGGTCGTGTTACTTCTACTTCACTACCAGTGTATCTGCCGTAAATCCTAAAATTGTCGCGCCCGATGCGCTTTTTTAAAAGTCAGGTCGAGAGGGAGCAAAGGGGCTTGTAACGTGTGTGTATATGAAGAATATTATCAAACACTCGCTTGTTTTTTTGCTTTCAGTTCTGGCTATGATGATGAGGAAAATGATAATCCTTACACATATGTCGACCCGCCTGGAATGTATAATAACAGGTTAAACTAGTTTGCCAATGTTACTTATCAAATCCAAACTCTCAAATTGTACGCTCTTCCGCAAAATGTGATTCGAAATTGCCTTCTTTCAGCGATGAAACAGTGAAGGAAAGCAACAACCCATCGTGCGAAAGGTGAGTTTACATTTTATCTCTTCACGAAGCTCAGTTCACCTTCAGCGTGAGTCGAATGAGTTTAATGAGTCGAGACTGTCTGATCATAAGGATCCTTGTATTGCACAGGCATGTTTAGCATCATTTCAGGCCACAAAGAGGAGTGGTCAATTCAAATTAAACTGCAATCTTGACCAAACATTATTAAGACCTAGATCTTTTCAGAGCATTCGACACTCTCGACCACCAAATCTTGTTTGCCAAATTGGAGCACTATGGTATCTGTGACGTAGCTCTCTAGTGGTTTAAAAGCTACTTTTCTTGCCGCCAGCAATTTGTCAGATTCAATCAAGCTTGCTCTTCATGCAAACCACCAAGTGTGGTGTCCCTCAAGGTTCGATTTTAGGCCCTCTATTGTTCATCCTATACATAAATGACCTCCCTAATGCCTCTGAATCAACAGACCCTCTGCTTTTCACTGATGACACCAGTATCTTTTATTCTCACTCAAACCCCAATTGCTTAGAATCCGTACTTAAGAACAAGTCTCTGTAAGAATCAAACATCTTGGGAAATGAAAATTTCAACCTCCCTTCATCTATTTGTGTGTTCACATTCAATCCCAAGGAAAATTGAATGTATCAATGTGAAGACGAATGATGTCACTATGAATGGTAGAAGTGCCAATTTGTAATGTTGTATTTAGCTTGAGGTAGAGAAATAAACATTTCACTCTTTTTTGCGACGTTTTTGTATGAAAATGAGGCCCCAGGCCTCGAACAAGCAGCCGTTGTTACCATGGCAACAAGAATGCTGTAACCTATAAAAAGGGCATTTTGTGCAGCCCCCCTAAGTGCCTAACTGCATGCAAAATTTGAAGGGGGGTTGAAAATTTTCATTTCCCAAGATGTTTGATTCTTACAGAGACTTGTTCTTAATGATGAACTCCAAAATATTGATGTTTGGCAAAAATGTAATAAGCTTTCAGTTAATATAAAGGAAACTAACCACGTAATTTTTTAAACCCAGACAGAAGAAATTTACCTCCAGCATTTCTCTCTCCTTTGGAGATAAACCCCTACAACAATCTAACATAACTGAATTCCTTGGGGTCAATATTGATGATAATCTTACCTGGAAACACCATATCAGCTAAGTGTAGTCTATGTATAAAAACAAATCGCTGAATCAATAGCTGTTATATTCGGGTCTCGCTTTTTCCTATCCTCTACAACCAAATTTGTTTTGTACTATACCTTAATTTATCCTTATATCGTCTGTTGTAACTGCACCTGGTCGTCCACACACGTATCTAACTTAAACACAATTTATTTTTTGCAAAAGCGAGCTGTGTGGGCTATTACCAACTCAGACTGTCGAGCCCATTCCGCTCCTTTATTCTCCAAACTAGGAATTTTAGATATTTTCCCAGTCAATACGGTTGAAATCGCTAACTTTATGTTTTATTATAAAAATAACTTATTGCTTCAATTCCTCCTCAATCTTTTGGTGACCAATAGCCAAATTCTCAACTATGGTACCAAAACAGCCAGTTATTATCGAACGCATTTGTACCGTACAAATCTCAAGCAATTTACAATTCTCTACCTAGGTCCTAAAATTTGGGACTCTCTTCCTGCTTCAGTCACTCGTTCGTCAAACCTTCTTAGCTTTAAGACGAAAAAGCAAGAGTTTTTACTTAAATAATCACTGAATTGGCCTAGCCGCACATTCGCAGCACTTTTTCTTTACTTTATTCTTTATTTATTAATGTAAGTGAGGTGGCTGTCCCATAAGCCCGGTGGCTTCCTGGGTCTCCTCACCTTCTAGCTTTCACCGTTGTAAATATATTTTTGTATTGTGTAAATAAGGCAAACAAAATATGATGGTGAAGACACCCTCTTAAAAAACACAGTGATGTCCACACTTTAAACTCACTGATGTACACATTACATAAATCAGTAATGTTCGCGATTTAAAAGTGATAAACTATCAATGTTGAAAGCGGTGGTAGTTGAGTTAATATCCCAAGGGGAAGGTTGAAAGAACTCCATAACAAAAGACACGATATTTGAGTGCTTCCACAGAAGTTTCCCGCAACCAATTTTTCAAGGAGTTATAAACTGAGTTACATGAATCGGTCTTTAAGCCAATCGAATTGAAGCGTTCTCGAAATATAGAAGCACTAAGAAATATTTTTGTCCCTGATTTTAGAAAGCAATCTGACAAGAAGTAATTCCCATCATCTTAATCACATCTCAATTACGCATTAGGTCAAATTATCAACTGATCATTATTCTTTGAAATTTTTAATAGACTTTCAGAAGTAGGAAGATCTTTGCCTGTATCTATTGTCTTTAATCAAAAGTGATAGAATGGCCACCTCTGCAAGATATCCCGTCAAACAAAGAGGAAATCCTCTCTATATACAGAGGGGGGTTGGCCAATAAGTACTTTTTCTTTATTTTTTGAAAGACAATATCGGTTTTTTTCCCCAGTAATTTATAACTGTTTTTGTTCTCTTAGTGCTGAAAGCGGGAAGACAGCTAATGCAGGAGTGTACGAAAGGTAGGGAAGTAATCCTCTCTACCTAATACCGGTCTTGAAACAGAACACTGCCCACTAAATCGACCAATCCCAGCATGCGTCGTTACTAAGAGACAAAATCTGAATAACACGATTAAGAGGCCTGTTCTGAAACAGAAGTTCACCACAGATAGCATATTCCCAATTTTCCACTTTTATTAAAAAATACACATTCATCAAAAGTGAGCTACGCATTAAA